TTTCAGCCTGGTTTTCTTATTGGATTTGCTTCCATAGCCTTTGTCCAACCCAGAACAAACTACAAGGCATCAGTTGTTTTATTTTGGAGTTATCTCTCCTAGAAGAGTGGCTGTCCCCAGCTAACGAGCCTCATCTGCCCGAGGGTTCGAACTCGAGACTTTACGGTTTAGCAACCATGAGCTTTACCGACTCGACCACGCCGACTAAAAAATCTCGTAGAAAAAAGAATTGCACGCCAAGTGAACGCCAAATAAAATGTGCATAATAGTGCGCAATAGTATTAGTACTTTACAAATTTACATTAGTTTTTAGAGAAATCGGAAATAGCGTAAATTAGTACTTCCCGTCAACGGAAATTACTCAAAATTTGAAAGAAGGTAGAGAAGTAGATATTTTACTTACCTGTGAAATTTCATTTATCTATCTGAAATAGTACTCAAGTTATAGGCTTTTGAAAAATTCAAAGTAGAAAAATTCCTCTTCCGGTTATCGGAAATCGTTCAAAAGTTTATACGGATCTATGATTTTGATATAATACTTATATATTAAATGTCATTAACCTAGCCGTAACGGTACTCAAGTTATCATGTTTACACACACAGACACACATACACACACACACAGACATACGGGCAAGATTGCAAAACTATGTTTTTTCCGACTCAAGGAGCCCTAAAACGTCGAGATTAGTAAAAATCTCGATTATTTTTTAGTGAATAAAATAAATAAAAGATAGCCTTGTATCAATCCATGCTAATTCTAATATTCCAACAATAAATGTCCTCTTACAATAATATCCTCTGCAGATTTGCATTCATATTTTGCTAATTATATTATTCCAACAATAATTCCCTCTTGGAGAATTTGCATTCACATTTTTGTACTAGCGTGAGTTGAATTTATTTTTAAATTACCTCCCTTGGCAAAATTACAAAACAGTTTAATTTATTAATTAAATAATTCGACCCTACTATTATTAAAATGTATCCACTTTTTCTAGGAATCAAAACGAAAATCATATTTGTCATTGATCCGTTTCACGTGTTTTAGCGATGTGCGTGTATTTAAAATTTTCTTTACGTTATGCGAAAGGTTAAAAGCTTAAGCAACTATAAAATAAATTTAAGTCGTTATATAGACAAACCCTACTCTATTATTTGTAATAAGACACTGCGATGCAAGTAAAAAGCACGACATGTGGTGTGTTTATTTTTATGGTTCCAAATCTATAGCGATGACGGAAGGGAGGAAGGAAGGACTGACACACTACCAGTCCGCTTATATTATAGATTTTAACTGGATAAAACATAGTACAGTAAATTTTACCAGTTTTCGTTACTTAAATGTTACAGGCTTAGAGGAAATTTGTTGTTTAGTTTTTACATAAAAGTGATACAAAATCAAAGATATTTTTTTCGTTACAGGGTTCTATATTATAATAATACCCTATAAATACACAATTTGGACGTAAAAAATTCACATTTTACAGTAGCTAACACACACTGTTGAGTAATATATATATATATATATATATATATATATATATATATATATATATATATATATATATATATATATATATATATATATATATATATATATATATATATATATATATATATATATATATATATAAGTTGTAGTGTGAAAGATTAGCAAACGTTCAAACCAGGTCCACGACTTATTTTCCTTATTTAAATTGTTAAACATATGTGCTCATGCTCTAAATCACCTTTAACAGATTTGCAAATTAAAAAGCTCTTAATTATTCTTATTCTTTAAAAATACATAATAAAGAATGTCATAGTAGGCTATAAAAAGGAAATGTATTTAAAACTAATAATTAAAATACAAAAAAAAAAAACACATAAAAATAAACATAACGCGAGAAACCATTACATATACAAAGCTTTCATGGTTCATATACTTTTGACCGACTTGAGTTATAGGAAGCATTACAGCAGACGTAGATCTATATTGAAACAGAGATTTTCAAAACAGACTAATAGCACCCAAAAAAGAAACCAAAACAAAAAAAAAAGAATTTATTTTCATTTATTTCTTATATATATATATATATATATATATATATATATATATATATATATATATATATATATATATATATATATATATATATACAGGGGCGTAGCGAGGGGGGTGCGGGGGGTGCGGACCGCACCGGGTGACACCATTTAGGGGGTGACACCAAGGCAAAAAATAGCAAAATATATAGAGAAAAATTATAATTCCACATAATAGAGTGATTAATTAGAGTGTTAAATAGCCTTTTAAGAGGTGGGGGGGGGGGTGCAAATCGAAGGTTTGAGTGGGGGGGGGGGGGGGGGTGCAGGTCGAAAGTTTGAGGGGGGGGGTGTAAATCGAACATTGAAAGTTGCGCCTCTGGGGGGTGACACCATTAAGTGCCGCACCGGGTGACACCCGACCTCGCTACGCCACTGTATATATATATATATATATATATATATATATATATATATATATATATATATATATATATATATATATATTTATGGGGCCCAAAAATTATTTTTTCGGGTTGGCCCATTTTTTCTAGTTCTGCCATTGAGTGTTAGGTTGTTAAAGACAAGGGGTCATCCATAAATGACGTCACGTTTTTTTGACGATTTTTACCTCTCCCCTCCCCTCCGTCACACGTCGTCACAAAAAGCCAGACACCCCCCCCCCCCCTAAATGACGTCACACCTCAGCATACAACCCCCCACCCCCCCCCCCCCCCTAAAAATTGCAGTTGAATTTTTTTTTAAAACATCGATATTTTTTCTAAAATCTTGTCTAAACTATTACAATTTATTAAAACAGTTAGCTATTAGGCCCTATTTTTTCTATGTTGTAGGGTAACCCGGGGTAATTCCATACACTACTTTTCTAAACAATTTGTAAAAAATCTAACATTAACACTACCACAATATAATATTGAGGGTATAACTAGATATGCATTACTTATATGATGGCAAACAAATATAGAGATAATTCACAAAATAAAATACAATTTTTAAATATTTCACTTTTATTACAAAAACATGGCAAGTGGGGCAATTCCACACACATTATGAAAATTTAAAAATTAATGTATTTAAAAATTTGTAAAAATCATTTTTCCCCTGGGAAACAATTTTGCATGGGGGCAACCACTCGTCATCACTGGATGAAGAGAAAGCCTCGATGTCTTCCTCCTGAATTCGGCTCTCATCTGTAATAGGCCGAAGTTAATCGTTTATAATTGTGGACCATACTGAAATAAAATAAAAATTAAATGTTAGAAAGTCTAATTACTAATGTGTGTATGGGGATGTTTAGCTCTAAATATTGCATAAATTATGATAAATAATATAGGTACAGTAAAAATAATAATAGATAAAGAAATAAAAGAAGTCTGTGGCAATTTTACTTAACTTTAATAGCAGAGTCTTTTTAAAAATAAATAGTACTAGATCTAGTACTATTTAAGTACTTTTTTTAGATTAAATCATGAGTTGTGAATTACAGAATTAGCCACAACCAGTTTAAATGGTTTTAAATAATAGCTAAACCCTCTAAAGAGTATAAAAAGCAACATGGGACATTCCAAACTATAGGGTATGGAATTACCCCACACCATGTGTGTGGAATTGCCCCACACCTACTATACAGAATAATATCCTTTCCTGTTCTAAATTAAAAGCTGAATCTAGCATCATTAACTGTTATTAACAAAAATGATTAAGCTTTCATAAAATCAATAAATAATTGACAACAATTAAAAATAAGACAAAATAAACTATTTTTAAAAAGTGCAGGGGTTGTACTTACGTAAGGATGTTTGAAGATAAATGCAGATAAAATTAAAATTCTTGCTCTTATTGTAGATGAACGCTTCTCTAACAATTTCAGAAAGTACAAGAAAAGATCTCTTAGAAACAGGGAATAGTAACTTTTAATTAAACTTTACACCATTTTAAAATAGAGAGTATTCAGTATATAGTGTGTGGAATCCCGTGTGTGGAATTACCCCGGCTTACCCTACTATAACTTTATCATTACGTAACTGGTTTATAATAAAAAAAAATTAATCATTTCTGTAATTGTAGTTTTTTGTTCTATAAAACTTGTCTCCATTTTGTCTTGTCGGCCTTTTGTCTTGTCGGCCTTTTTGTCCATGTCAGCCATTTGTCCGGATCCCGTTAAGAACCACTACTCTAGATATAGATCTAGATCTAGGCCTACTCTGGATAAGTAAACGTAATAAACCGGGAGTGATCTCCCCAAAACTTTCTCGAATATTCTTATATAACTGACTTGGAATATAGTCATGATTTTTAATTACTTATTTAAAAATAGAATAGAATCTCATAGAAAAAAGAATTGCGCACCAAATGAACGCCAAAACAACATGTGAATAATAGTGCGCAATATTATTAGTACTTTATAAATTTAAATGCGCTTTTTGAGAAATTCGAAATAGCGTAAATTAGTACTTCACTTCAACGGAAATTGCAATTCGTCAGAAGGTAGAGAATTAGATCTTTTACTTACATGTTAAATTTCATTTATCTATCTGAACAAGTACTCAAGTTATAGTACTTATAGGCTTTTGAAAAATTCAAAGTAGAAAAAGTACCACTTCCGGTTATCGGAAATCGCTCAAAAGTTGATATGGATCTACGATTTTGATAAAATACTTATATATGAAATTTCATCAACCTAGCTGTAACGGTACTCAAGTTATCGTGTTTACACACAGACAGACAGACACACACACAGACATACGGACAATATTGCAAAGTTATGTTTTTCCGTATCAGTGAGGTGTAAAACGTAGAGATTTGTAAAAATCTCGATTTTTATTTTTTGCACGATTACAAGACTTTCTCTATACCTCGTATATACGAGAAAGTAAAAATCTAGATTTAGGCCCTGTTTATAACACTTCACTCTTCAAATTATAAAGTTAGTTTATTCATAAACAATTTTTTTTTTTTTAAAATGGCCTCAATGTGTAAACATGTCATAGGTAGGCCCTGATAGATTCTAGTTTCTAGCTACTAGATCTAGATCTAGATTTGTCTAGATCTTTATTTATCTAGATCTAGATCTAGAAATATAGCAATACTAATTACTATAGGCTATAGGCCTATAGTCTAGTTGAGTATATATATACTACTAGATCTAGATTCTCTATACTATATAATAAAAAAAAATCAATATAGGCCAGAAATTAACTTTAAACAGCAGTGTCTGAGAGCAAGATTTGCTATATAAACAGCAGCCATTTGTAAAATAGAGTGGCTTCCCCCTGAATCTCGCGCTTAAAGCTTATAAAAATAAAACTTAAACAAGATGGCTGCTATAGTAAATGTCAAATGAGCATGGTTGCATCTGTTGGAAACATCGCTAGTCTTCATTTATTACGGAAAAGTTTTAATTCAATTGTTTAAAAACAGGTACATAAATGAAACAAGGAAACATGTTTGTATTTTAAAAAACATAAATCCTCCTCAAAATGTGAAATAATTATTAAAATTTAAGGAGTCACCTGTTTTTCACATTATAAGTCGCGGGCGATTTTAGACGGAGTGGTCTAGCGGTAGAGAGCTGGGCTGCTAACCTGTAAGTCTCGAGTTTGAATCCAGGTTCAAGCCAGTAGACCGTCCCTGAATCCACCCAACTCTGATGGATACCTAACTCACGTTAGGGAGAGTAAAGGCGGCTGGGCATAGCGCTGACCACACTATCTCTTCATATGCCGAGGTCACAGAAACAAGTGAACTCTACTTCACTTGCCCCTTAGACCGTCAGGTTTGAAAGGGAAACTTTACTTTAAGTAAAATCAAAATTTGAAAAAGGATAACGTTAGAGTTAGAGCTGTAAGAGGGTTGAACCACTTTATCCACTACCATTTAGAATACCACAACCATGTGAAAATACCATAACCATAACCAGTCATTCTGTTTACAATTATCATCCATATGGACGTCTCACGAAAGTGCCTCTCACATTTACTATCCAGGCCAAAATCACTCTCCCCATTGAGTCACACAAAGTTATATACATCATCTAAGATGATCAAGACAGAACTAACACACAGTTGACACAATACACAGGGTTCGTACGCAGTCTGGAAAGTCTGGAAAAAGTCTTGAATTTAGAAAAGTGAATTTAAGACTTAAAAAAGTCTGGAAAATCGCTAGTTTTTGGGCTGGATTTTTTAAAAGTCTGGAAAAAGTCTGGAATCCAGTTTTAGAAACAAAACTTCGAAGTCCATATTTTCCAAGTTTAAAAATTGCTATTTTTAGGTGAAATTACTCCATTTTTTTCCCCGCGCTTTTGCGCGGGTTTACACTGTTGTGACTTTTCGCTGGTCCGCAGAAAAAAACGGATGCTCAGTTACTACGTCATTGGAAGAGGAGGGGAAGAGAGAGAAGAAATATTTTGTGTTGCAACTGACCGTGTGAATGTGTTACAAGTATTTAAAATTGTCAATTAAATTTAATGAAAGAATGATCGGCTTCAGAATTGTTAGGCTCTCGATTTTACCCGCTATTTTTCATTGTTTAAGTTTGCACGCAGACAGTCATAACAAAAAAATTATGTGGGAGGTGTATGAATGGTAGTTTAGATATAATTTGTCTCTGAGGGTCATCCGTTTATGACATCCAGAAAAATTTAGGATTTTACCCCCCCCCCCCTTCCACACGCGTTCACTTACTTTGGGTTAATATTAACATTTATAAGATTAATAAGTCGCGAGGCCTCCTTGGGTTCATACCCGTATTTGTTTGCTTCAGCGGTCGCTTACCAAAGAGGTACTAATTTTATTTAGGAGTCGTCCATAAATGACGTCACACTCGGAAAAGTCGGAAGGAGGGTTTCAGAAAGTTTGACGACAGGCTCTTGCAATAATGTTAGGGTAGATATAAATACCGTGTTTTGTTTACACACTGAGATGGTTTTTAAAACACAAACATAGATTTCAATGCTGACGACTAAAGCTAGACTACCCCGCCCCTTCTTGTAACTACGGTCACTTGTGTGAACTCACCATGACCCCAAGTTTGTAGTTGGTACTGCTTGGTAACGAGGGTGGGGGGTATAAGTCACATCACAGTTCCTGTTATGTCATATTAAACAGGCATACTGAAGCCTAGACTACTATGACCTCACAATGACCCCTTCAGCGTGTCTTGTGGTTGTGGGGGGAAGGGGGGAGGAGGGTACCGGCAATTTTTTTTTTATTGCAGACCCATTCCTCAGCAATTAGTAGTATAAGTGTATAAGCATAAACAGTGAGTGATGTGGTTACAGCCTGCAGAATGTTTTTTTTTGCTCCAATTTTTTTCTTTACAAGTAGCCTATATTAGGCTACTTAACAAGAGCAGACCTAAATTAATACATTACGTTAGTATTCTGTAAAGTAATTAACTCTCACTATTATACAATACCATTTTAATAATAGTTTAATTGAAAACATAAGCATTTTGATCATGAACAGATTACATAAGTCTAATGTTTAAAACAAAATAGCTGCATCATTTTAATCAATTATTTTAATTATTAAAACTTTAGGTGGAGTTGAGTTGGCAAACTTAGGAAAGTGATTTTCTGTCAATTTGGCTAGAGAAAGTTCAATATAAATATATCTCAACTGCCTAAAATAAATGTCAGTTTAGTACAAGTAATTATGAGAGTACAAATGGTGCATCATTTGATAAATTATTCGCGAACACATTATCTGTATAAATTCTGGAATTTTTCAAAAAAAGTCTGGAAAATGTCTGGAAAAAGTCTGGAATTTCATTTTGAAAAAGTAGTACGAACCCTGAATACAGCATCCAGTTTCTGCACTAAACATCACTATCTTTTCTCCAGGTCAACATTTCGTGCATTCATTATATCTTTCGCACCATCATTCGTTCTCACCAACATACCACACATCCTAACATATAACTAGAAATAGTTATGTTCAATTAAATTAAGGGAGGCATAGCACTGTTCTATAGTAATTGCCATAGGCCAATTTCAATACTGCACATCTATGCTATTAATGAAGGTATATTCAATATGTTGATAAAACTGCAGAGGATTGCTAGAGAATGAATGCAATTAAAAATTATGCAAGAAAATTTTTTAAAATGTATATGCCTAAAGAGTAGGCCTATTGGTAAAGATTAATCCAATCAGTGCTTCTTCCAAACTTATTTCTTGGGGGGATGGGGGGAACACTGCTAAACGTATATATTTTCTATATAAATTCCAGTAGACTATCCCGAAGAGATGCCTGGAAGAAACACTGAATCCAATTAGGGGCCTAAAGTAGTGTAACTGCCTTACTACCATCTTTCAAACTTCAGACTGTACCTTAAAGTTGTTTTTGAAGATGTAAAGATACAATTTTGCTCACACTGATAGAGTATGTTTACAATATGGACATATGTAAATAAAATAAAACATTTAAACTTTCGTCCAATGAAAGAGTTTTCTTTAACTACGCTTTACAGTGTTCAGGGCAAATAAAATAGAGTTCAACTGTTTTAGTGAACTCAGCATATATACATACTAGACTACCTAGTATTCTTGGATTATCATGGGTTTTGGGGTAATTCATAAATTAAATCACACTTGTTTGACAATTTTATCCTTTTAACTAATTAATTTTGGTTTGGCCTACTTTCCTCTGACAGTTTAAAGCTAATTAATTGGTAGATCTAGATAAATTTATTGTATACTTAATTTAGAAGAGCTATCAAATGTATCCTATTGAAAATTGATAATCTTGTTGGAACCTAATAAAAATTGCAAACAGACGTTTTGTTAAAGCTATAGCCAACAGAATATTTAGCTTTATAATGCGTTAAACTTTTGAATGGGCAACATGGTCTTCAATGGAAGCCATGCTTGCTGTGAAAATAAGTAAATCAAGTATTTATTCTGAATTTTTATAATTAAAGTTGTGTTTCTCAAATGAATATATATCAATAAATTATCATTTTAAAATAAATTTGTGTGTAAACCTGGGAAAAAAGAACATTATTCCTAACATAAGTATGTATTTTACAGCTCTACATAAAGTGCAGATGCACTGATCAAGCGGAACAGAAAAAAAAAAAATAATACAAACTTCTGACTTCTCACTTAATTTAGCCCGAATGTTACGCAAATAATTCCCAGTGTTATAATGCACTAGTGTGGCAAAAAGGAACTCGATCCATACAGCCGTCTGGATTTCTATAACATACACCCAGTGTGCCCGCTGCAGACATACTTTGATTTTATATATATATATAGATGAGTACACTAGAAACCATTAAATAAAATAGGTACTTTGTGCAAACCTTTATCTTCCAGGATACATGCATGGTACCCAGCAGAGCTAGGTGGTTTTAGTTAGGGCGTATCCATTCTGCACTCAAGCAGATAACAAAATTTAAGATTTTCAAGTTAGCCATATACCCTTGATTACATCATTCTTTTAAACTGTTACCTGACTTACTAGTTATTAAATTTGTTTGGTTGTTTTAGCGAGGATAAGACCAACTGTATCTTTTGCTAGTGTGCACCTACATGAAAGAAAATGGAGTTCAACACTAAGCATTACAACATCAATTTTAGAGAAAGAGTTGGCAAGCATAAGAGCTGCTGGCACTTTCAAGTCAGAAAGAATTATTACATCACAGCAAGGTCCTTCTATCAAAGTATATGGAAGCAAAGGAGAAATTCTTAATTTTTGTGCAAATAACTACCTGGGTCTATCAGTAAGTAAAATTTGCACCTACTGATAAATTAGGGTTTTTACTAAGAACCATAATTTTCTTCACATTTTCTCTGTTTTTGTTTAGAATTTATAAAACTATTGTTAAACTAGGCCATTAGCCAGTACTACAAATAATAAGCTCAATAAATAAGTCAGAAAGAAACTGATATATATCCATTGCTTCACCAGCCCCATTTATCCTCATCTTACCCACTGATCTTAATGCCTGCACCATTGACCTCACCTACTATACTCTTTACATGGGAAACCAAGCACTTTCAAACACATACAAATTCACATTCTCAAAATATGCTAAAATCAGTAAAAACAATTTAGTTTTTTAATTTAAAGCATCAAGTTTAATTTAAAGTGAGTGTGGACCTCTTCCTATAATAATATAATTTTCATAATAAACCCATGTCAAAGTAGTCAATTGAGGTTATCGTCAAATGTTACTGGCAGTTCTTTCCACATTAAATTTGAAGTCTCTGATGGTGTTATGACTATTTTAGGTTTTTCTTACCTTTAACTGCAGTGGTGAAGATGGTAGAAATCAATACACCAGGAGCAAATGGAAGAATGTTCTTGCAAGAATCCTACATAATTGCTTAATTAGTCTGTCTCATCTTAAAGTAACTCAAAAATAATGTAAATATATCTTTTTTAAGAATCTTAGAATTCTAATAAGCTTTTTACTTTTTTTAAAATAAACAAAATTTTTTCCTAATTTATAGTTTTATTTGAATGACCTATGTATGGTAAATATGCCAATATAAAACATATAACAAATTTATTTTTGACTGTTATAGGGCAATAACCACTTATGTTAAAGATGTGGGGCAAATGTAATTGATTTAAGTGTTAAGGTTTTTGTTGGACATTTATAGGTCTTTACAGGTCTTATTCTCACTAATTATTCTTTACCAAATTTCTAACTCCTTGTAGTTTTAGTCAGTATATAGTGTTAATAAAGAGTTAATTCATCAGTTTCATCATCAATATTTTCTTAAGCATTCTTTTCTTGCATGTTTCATTGCAAACTACCACATAACTTTTTCACTTTGGAAGTGAAATTAAATCATAGCAGCAGGCAGACATTACATTACAAAGTCTTTTACATTCCTCTTGTCTTGAGAAGCAACATCATTTTCAGGTTAGCCAAGAAGAGAGCTTACAGATCAGTAGTGTAAAGGTTACAGATCAGTATGAGAAAAACTAATTTATTTCAGAATCATCCTGCTGTTATAGAATCTGGGAAAAGAGCTCTTGATTCTCATGGAGCTGGGCTTAGTTCTGTTCGTTTTATTTGTGGGACTCAAGTAAGAGCTATTTTTTAATCTACTGTACCAGGATTTAGTTTCATTTTGTAAAATAGGTACTTCTTTGTTATAAAGACACATAGTTGAGCAATTAATCTTCTGAAGATTTTGAAGTTGAAGTCATTCATTTGATTTATATGTTGACTTTACTTAAATATGAACGAACAGGTTATGTAACACGTTATGGTATGTGTATTTTCTATAAACAGTTTTATAGATTTGTACTTTATATAATTATAGTGGTTGTATTTTTTTATTTATTTTTGAAAGGACATACATAAAGATCTGGAGCGGAAAATAGCAAAATTTCATGGAAAAGAAGATGCAATACTTTACATCAGCTGCTTTGATGCTAATGCTGGATTATTTGAAACTCTACTCAGTCCTGAAGATGTTGTTATATCAGATGAGTTGAACCATGCCTCAATAATTGATGGAATTAGACTCTCAAAGGCTCACAGAATTCGCTATAAGCACAGAGACTTAGAAGGTAATTACATTAAATGTCCATCATTGTTGGTGTTTTTAGTTCTTTTTATCCAAATGATGAATGCATAAAAGTTCTTTTAATTAAGTTCTTAATTTATAGGCCTCTTTACTTAAATTCAACTTAGGAATCTACCAGACCTATGTCTTTCTGTAGTCTACATGTTTGTATTAGTACTGGTACATGAATCAGGAAAAAGGCGCCTGATTCTATTGCGCGAACGACTATAACATCCCATCTTATCCATAGCCTATCTTTGAGTCATAACTATATGCTAAATATTATAGCATTAGGTTTAGAAATAAGCATTTTGGTTATTTTGGTTTTCAGCACCCGCCCATGCCCTTAACAATGTTATATAAGGAATTGGGACTGGTCACTTCTAAAGTCATTCCGAAGTATTTTTTGTTACCACTGCGGGTCGTTCTATAACCTCAGTAGTTAACAAGGGGCTTTGACATGCTGATATTTTTGTTCAGTTGTTTTTTTACAAAAAAATTGGAATGTTTGTATAAGAATATATGTCCTCTGGTAGTTAAAACGGTCTTCCAGTGTTTTCTCAAAGGTAAAACGTTTTTTTTGTGCACCGCTGGTGCTTATGTATGACCTCAGGAATTAACAAAAAGAATTTATTTTTCAATATTAGCTCATATAGTTTTTCCATACGGTGGAGTCTTTTATCCAGGTGTATGGAAAAATATAGCCAGATGTACAGAACCAAAGTAACCTAAAAAATGTTTTCAATAGTCATTGTTTTTCACCAAATTAACTATGTTTATGTAAGGAATTCGATCTGGTCACTTCAAAGGCTTTCCGAAGTTTTCCCTAAGAAAACAGGATTTTTGTTACCCCCCTGGTCATTTTACGACCTCAGCGTTATCAAGGGGTTTGTATGTGGGAAAGTTTTTTCGTTATATACTTTTCCTTATATAGAAATACTAGCCGGCCAGGCCCAGCACTGGCCTCTGTGAAAAAACTATTAGTAAAGGACCATGATTTGTGTGTTTATTAACCTTTTATCTACTGACGGTACTTATAAGTACCACTTTAATTAAGTGCCTGTATTATTTTTAATTTAATACGAATTTTTAAAAACTATTGATGTAATTAATAGTACTATCTCTCCTGAGTCGCCGGTAGTTGGAGGGTTCGATGTTTTTTTAAAACTTCTGGTGTGGCGCCATTTTCAATGTCGTGGATTATCGGTAATTCACAATTGTTCTGTACAGTTCTCACACACGTTCCTAATTTCCCTTTGTTTTACCTTATTTTTCAACCCCAAATATTTTTTGTAGTCACCTTCAATAGTCAGGCAAACGTGTTTAACTTCTAGTTATACAATTTTAATCAAATTGTCTTTGTATGAGATCGATGTTTACAAGTGGACTTATAAGTACCGTCAGGGCACACGGTCATTTTTTTTTTAGGATTTCTAGGAAATGGCGGATTTTCGATGTGGAGTGACATAAATATTATTTTGATAATTAATTATTGAAATGTACTCAAAAAATTACATTTACACATTTATAAGAAGGTTAGCATATGGTTAACCTAAGAAATATTGAAATTACATGTTGATTTCTAGTAGTAAAAGAATAACAATAATGTAGGTAGCAGTTGCAGGCTCGTTTACTAGTTTAAGTATACTTCATTTGTATACCAAAGTCTAGTTCTAGTAGTAAGATTTAATTTGTTAGTTATATTTACTGCAATCAACTGTCTTGCCTACAAAGACTATAGTAACCTTTCTTATCCATAGTCTATTGCACTTGCACTGTTTAAAACAAAATTATACACCATACCGCTCACAGGTTGTCCGCAAACCGAAAAATAGAAGGAAACATAAGGGACATTGTGGAGTGGCGTCTAAACTGTTATTGATTTTAAAAAAGAATAAGTTCAGTGTATAAAATAAATAAAAGGCAGAATTTAAAATATGTGTGTTTTACTTACTACATTGCACTTGATCAATTATGTAATTTTTTTTTTCCCAACACCAAAACAAAGTAATAAAAAGTAAATTCCCCCCCCCCCCCCTTCCCCGCTGTGGGTTTTTTTTAAAGTGAACTAATTGTGTTTTCCTAATTTATCAAGGGACGTAATGAGTGCTAAAGGACTAAATGTAAATATTTTTCAGACACAATTAGAATTTTTGTGAAGGGTGATACATTTTCTTTAATTTTGTTTAATGCACATGTGATGCTGTCAATTAACACTATGAGTTTGAAAAATGAAATTTGTTTTACAACACCTTCAATATTAATTTTTTATATCATTAGATTAGACGATGAGCACTTCAGATATATCACACACTGGTGATGAAGTCTATTTTTTTTTTGCTCTATTTCTTTGTAATCCACTGTCCGCCCGATGTCCACCGTCTGCCACATACTGAATTGAACTTTATATATTAGATATAGATAAGAATATACAATTAAGTTTAGGGAGACAACTCCTTCGTTATTTATTGAATAACAATAGAATTTAATTATGAAATAGTTGAAGTTATTGAAGTATTAATATTATTTTGTTCTGTTTTAAATGTTTTATTTTCTACTCACAATCTTTAACAAATTTATTTGTCAGATTTAAAAAATCATTTAGTGTCAGCTAAAGGTTGTCGTCAGAAACTAATAGCCACTGATGGTGTCTTCAGTATGGATGGCAATATTGCCCCACTCCGGTAATAATGATCTTAGTTTTAAATTATGATATATAGTAGGTTGTCTCATGTTTATGTTTTTTACAATTACTCTGAAATAGATATTGTTACGACTGTGTGAGAGGTTTAAGCCACTTGTTCACTACCATATGCAACATCACTACCATATGACTGGATTACAACCTTAGCTAGTCATTGTGCCATTTCACATTCAGATGACCAGGTGACAATTTATAGATAAGGCGAACATATGAATTCCTTCTCCTAATTTGTTCTGGTATTAGACTTGTTTCTAATCTTCATCTACATACACATGTCACAAATCAATCTCCCGACTTGAGTCACACCGGTCAATATACGTCCTCTCACCACGACGATCAACATAATAATAACTCACACACAAATGCACAGCAACCAAGTTTCTACCCAAAAATGTCACTATCTTTCTATCTGCAGTCATCCTTCTAATGTGTTCAACGTACCCTTCGCACCAACATTCACTTACGCCAATCTATACTTGAAAAATGCATCATAAAAGATATAGTAACAAATTTTTCATTTTATATATTTACAAATTTTTGCCATCCTTATTTTGATAACGATGCATACATTTATTGGTTTTTAAAAGCCTGGGTGTATACTGTATTGAGTAACAGGTAAGGATAATTGGAAACATCAATAATTAGTAGCTTGATGAACCCAACTCTAACTTACAACTGCTTTCAACAACAAAATCTGTGTACAGGTTCTTGTTTCTTTATTATTTAAGCATGTATATATTGTTAACTAGCCGTCCCGGCCAGGCCCTGCTATGGCTTCTGTGAAAAACCTTTCTGTTAAAGACCATCACCTGTGTGTTTAGTAATCATCATAAACCCGGCATTGCCCACCCAAACCACAACCAACCAAAACAACAAAACGCAAACATAACGCTAACACAATTACAAATACAAACGAAAACAAAAACCTAACAACAAACCCAACCACAAACACCAATACCAACCAATAACAACACAATAAAAAACTAAAAAGCAAACAAAAACAAACCAAATCCAAACGCAAAACCAACCAAAAACACAAATACAAACCCAAACAAAAAAACACAAACAAAAACGAAAAAAGAAAGAACAAAAACGAACCAAATCAAACCGCAACCACTAACGCAAACCCAACGGCATCGCCTATTTTAGCTTAATATACGACTATAGTACCCCAACTTATTCATTGTCTTTTGCACTCACTTAAACGAACGCGCCTGTTTCAATTTAATGAACAATTTTAATACTCCAAGCTTATCCGTAAAATACCTACAACATTTGCACTTGATCAATCCCCGCTAATTATGTAATTATTTTTTTTCCCAACACCAAAACAAAGTAATAAAAATACTTAAAAAAAACTTTTTAAAAAACAAGTTTTTCTTGTGGACTAAAAAATAGAAAATAACTATTTACATACATTTGATGACAAAAAACGTGGGTACGTTCACCATCAAATTTCCCGACCCATCTGCCCGACCCACGTTTTTTGTCATCAAATGTATGTAAATAGTTATTTTCTATTTTTTAGTCCACAAGAAAAACTTGTTTTTTAAAAAGTTTTTTTTAAGTATTTTATTTTCTCCTTTTTAGTCCGTTGCTACACATGAAAAACGTGGTTTTTAAAAAAGTTTTTTATATAGTTTATTTTCTACTTTATCTAATGACTTGATTAAGTATGAATTGACTAAGTGTTTATAAATACACGGACTAAAAAAATCTTGAGCGACCAGGATTCGAACCTGGGTTGTCGCGGCCACAACGCGAAGTACTAACCACTATACGATCACGGCCAGCGCGCTCACATCGATTGGGGCCGAAGTAACTGTGTCAATAAGCCTTCAGTCTTGTCGGTATCTTTAGAAATCATGTCCTCAATTTTATGGTCCTTTGGGCGTAATTAAATTAAGCTAATTACGGTCTCTAATTGCTCATTTTTATGATTGCATCTGAAATTGTTAGGCGAAAGTAGCATGCATGCCAAATTTCAGGTCTCTAGAGCAATCAGAAGTGGGCTAATTTTCGATGTCAATTTTAACAACAAATAAATCCACACATCCACAAACGCGAAGCTGAGTTAAGAAAAACGTGTTAAAAAGTAAATTCTTTTCCACTAATGCAATGGTTTTATAAAGGGAAGTAATTGTGTTTTCCTAATTTATCAAAGGGAAGTAAGTGCTATAGGACTAAATAAAGACATAATTAGAATTTTTGTAAAAGATATTTTTTTAAAACTTGTGTTTAATGAACATGCCGAAAATTATTACTTTCAGTTTGATAAATAAAAATTATTTCCCAAAACTTTCAATATTAATTTTTTAACTCATAAATTTAGACCATAAGGACTTTAATTATCTAACACTTAAATCCATTGAAGTATGTCAACGACAAACTTATTACATACAGAATTGAGCTTTATATATTAGATGTAACCTACACACATGCAAATCCCCAATAATTTAAATGAAAGGAAATAAAAAATGTTTGCAAACATAATTAAATTAATCATAACATATAGTTTTATTCTTTTCACCTGCTCTAACAGGTAGGTGCGTGTTAAAAATAACTTTCCAGGGTTCTGATAGACAATTTTCTTTTATCAGAGAAATTTGTGAGTTGGCCAACAAGCATGATGCTTTGGTTTTCATTGATGAATGTCATGCTACAGGCTTTTTTGGACCAACAGGAAGGTTAGTAATTGTATGGTCAAACAATGTTTGACAAGTAAATTTAACTCTGTTCAAGATCTACATACTAAAGATCAAGCACTGATGCAGTTTTACTCTATGAGGAATTTGATATAGATGCCATTGTAGATGCTGGGGCACTTGGAAATGAATATTAAAGCAATTATAAACTATATCTTATACTTAGCCAAAGAAATATGAAGTGGCATACAATTTGAATTGTGCTAAAAGTTGGTGCTTAAAAAGATTTAAAAATCTAAATCAATTTTTTTTTAAATATAAGAATTGCAGAATATTTCTGAAAGAATTTCATTTAAACAGTTTAATTGTTGTTATGTGTTAATGTACATCAACAGTTTCCCTATGGCTATGGCTTAAATTATAATGCTGCTTGGCTTGAAAAAAGTTGAATGGACACTTATCTTTTTGAGAGTTTGCAATCCTCATTTTCTTATTTATTTGTTTCAATACTTTTATTTGTTTTAATACCAAAGCAATGCAATATATCAACCAAAAAGAGAAAGAATAAAATCAATTTTAATTTTCTGGAAAATCTTTGCCAAAATGTCTTAGTTACTGTGTCATTCATTTATGTAAATACAGGACGAACACAACAATCTTTATAAGCACAATATTGAAAGGAAGCATCATTACAATTCAATACAGCTACACTAATGACAAGCCATATTCATTTTGTATGTGAAGGAGCTAAGATATTATCTGCACTTCTCTCTGGTTGTGATTTCTTCTGCTACATTTAATATTTGAATCTTATGTAAATATGAAGTAAAAAAATGGGTATATGTTTTTTATCATCAGGGGAACAGAGGAACATTTAAATGTATCAGGACAGGTGGATATTATAAATTCAACTTTAGGGAAAGCCTTAGGTGGTGCTGCAGGTAATATATATATATACACACATATATATGCACATATACCAGACATGCCTACAGTCTCAGCAAAAATGGAATAGTTCTGCTTTTTTACAAAAAATCTTGTCCTGTTCCACCATCCCGTTTTTGTCAGTTTGTCCGTTTTTTTTAAATAATAAAGAAAAGTTATAAATCGAATTGAAAAAAAAAGAGCAGGGAAAAGTGATCATCTCCCTTTGGCACACATTTCTGTTTCCTAGTTTACCTACAATATTTACAAGTACAAGTATCATCTAATTCTAGATCTACTAAGATAATGTGGACAATCTAGCTTCTGGACATTCTTTTTAGTATTTGCAATTAAATTGTAGATTTAAATTATGCCTTTAATATCATGTAGGGAGAAAAATACAATAATATCATGCCGAAAATGCTAATTTCTAGATCAAGTATGTAGATACTCATTACTTTTAGAGAGATCAACCTTGTTAAAGTTGTAGCTACTAGTACTAAGAAGAGTAAGACTAAGAAATTAGTAAGAAGTAACTAGGACTTTTACAAGATAGGTCTAGGTCTTAACTTATAGTTTATATTCCATACGAAGCCTTCAGCATTTGTTGTTCATATAGCTTAGAACATAGCTGGGCAGGAACTATCAAATCAATAATAATAATGTAATAATGTTATGTTCAAAGCTATTATGGTTTTTATTGGGGAGGGGGGGGGGGGGGGGGTCTTCGGTTATTGGTTAACTTTTTGTTTTAAATATAAGCTGTCATTAAGCAGTATTTAAATGTAGCAATGAGACTAGTTATATATAATTAGAATAATTTAGCCAATAGATTATGTGTAGTTTGTGAAAAATATTGTAGTGCAGCCCATTCATTTGGATCCTGTAGCAACGATGTCCATGCAATATGTATATATATATATATATACATATATATATATATATACATATATATATACATATATATACATACATACATACTAGCCCTACCGGTCAGGTCCTGCACTGGAATTTGAAATAAACTTATTTGTAAGGACGTGACTTGTTAAACTAATTAAACACCTCCGCTCCATAGGGATTAAAATTTTCAATTAAAGGTCTATATGCAAAGTTTGGCGTTGAGAAAATATAAACACAAACATTAACTCAAACATGAACGCTAACTTAAATGGAAATAAACAAACAAAATCACAAACGCAATCATAATAGCAAACATAAACCGATAACGAACATGAATGCAAACTTAAACAGAAACATAAATATAAACAACGAGCCGACCCACGGCATATCATACACTGCTATTTAGTTGTTTTATTTTCTACTTTTCAGTAATTCATAATTTGTGAATTCGACTGTACCATTGCTGCCACTGAATATATTTGCTTTAAAACACTATCAGTATCTCGTTAAGGATGATAACCCCCACCCCCTCCTTTCCCCAATCCCTACCCCACCCCCCTACCGTGAAAGCAGCCTCTTCTTAGTTACGTTCCCTAAGTTTAAAATCGTTTCAAACTATATTATCTGCCCCTAATAGCCGTCCCTAAACCCGGCTCTAAGATTGTAAACATTTAGCGTGAACCACAGCTCACCAGACCTTGTAGGGGTGGGGGTGGTAGGGAGCGCGCTTACAGCTTGGTGTTTTCTAGGGTCTCCAAGAAGAGAATTATATATATAGATAATGCAAAAAATAAAGCATACAAAAACTTAAACTTAAATGCAAACATAAACAATAATTCTAAGAGAAAGATAAACGCAAACGGAATCATAAACGCAAACTTAAACAACTAATAATGCTAACGTAACTTAAATGAAATCATAGAAGGACATATGCTAACAACTCCTAAATTGTTATAGAATAAAAATAATAATTAGTAAACAATACATTCTATGTATAAAATAAATAAAAGGTGGTATTTAAAATACCAGATAGGTCCTACACCCTTGATTCCTAAGATCCACACTCAAGGCTTAGCAGTGGCGCGCTTACCGCCGTACCACACCATACCAAAATACATAGTAGTTATACATCTCTAATAGTTTTAAATTTCGCCTAATCCTTAATTTGGTACATTTATACATTGAAACCTTTGTAAAAATCTGAAACCTAAAGTTAGAAGATACAATAATTTGTATTTATGAAAAGCTAAACATTGTTATAACAATCAGTATCAGAGTACATTTTTTTTCTGCTAATGAAATCACATTTATAACCCTTCAAGTTCAAGGTAAAGAACTTGTTGTGTTTATTAAAACAACCAAATAAAATCAGCTTTTGATTAAGAAAGAATCTTTTAAGACATTCTAAAGCAGAAATTTCATAATTGAAAGAGAAAACTATCAAGATTGATGAAGCACAAAATCAGAGCTATAAATAATGTTTCTTAATAGGAATCACTCTAGGGGCAGTGCTCCTTCATTGAATTTAAAATAGAATAGTCTTTACTTTTATCATGATGTATCAACCCTAACTGTTTATAAGTGAAATATTGGAATATTTTACAGGAGGCTACACAACTGGACCAAAACAACTTATAGATTTGCTACGTCAAAGATCAAGACCATACTTGTTTTCTAATACTCTACCACCTCCAGTTGTGGCTTGTGCTAGCAAGGTAGATAGAAGCTACTTATTTTACTTTTTAAAAAAATATATTTACTTTCTGGAATAGCCTACTGAGTATAGAGGAACAATAATTTAGTTTTGTAGTCCTGCGAAAAATTTAACTGTTAGCACTATGCCCAGACCTTTAGTTCCCTGGTATAGTTCATTGTAGCCTACATGATGTCATCTCTCACATAGCAATAAAAATGTGAAAAATTTTAATAGTAACAGCATGTTTTACTGTTAAATGATGTCGAAAAACTACTGACTACAATCTTGGCAAAATTTATTATTTTATTAACAACACTATTTAAAGCAGTATTAATATGGCAATCCTAAATTTTTAAAAAGTTGTAATCTTTAAGCATCTTCAATTTCCCATCTATATACTACTAAAACTTGAATATTTATTTGTTTGTTTTTTTTTTTGTTTTTTTTTGTTTGTCTGATTGGCTAATGGAGAGAATCTGCTCTATGTGTAGAGCTGTAAAATAGTATGTAGGTAGAGAACAATTTTTGTTTTCAGACAGACTGTTAATCACAAATTTATTTAAAGACTTTAATTAATTTATTGATTTATTCATTGGTAGATTAACCAAATTAATTTTAAAAGTTTCAAACAGTGGCTTTACTTTGACTGAATAGTGACATTACATGATTTGTTTACTTTTTACATCAACAATGGCGGCTTCTATCGAAGAAGATTGTGTTGCCATTCCAATGTTTAACGCGTTCTAAAGCTAATTTTCTGTCGGCTATAACTTTAACAATACGTCTGTTTGCTGTATTTATTACGTTCCAACATTTATATCAATTTTCAACTGTCTCTTTCATTTAGTTTTACAATAAATTGCTCTAGATCTACAGATCAGCTGTCGAAGGAAGAAAAAGTTATGAATCTAGATCTAGAAATCTAGATCTACAAGTCTAGATCTAGGTCACTAGACTTAACGTAAATTCTAGATCTAGACTTAATGTAAATTCCACATCTAGAATCTATTTCAGGCCGTAATTATTTTATATAGGCCCTAAATGTTCAATAATCATCTTATTCGATAATGCATAGATCTAGGTCCAATTTATCTATCTAGGTTCTAGATCTAGAATCTTTTAGATAGATCTAGAATCTAAATCTAGATCTATCTAAAATTTAGATCTAATCTAGATTCTAGATGTAGAATCTAGACTCAACGTAATGCTACATCTAGATCTAGACTAAACGTAAATTCTAAATCTAGATCCTAAAATCTATATACTAAACTATTTCAGGCCTTAATTATTTTATATAAATCTTTGTTTGTTTAGCTATGGAATATGCTAATTTGGAAATGCTCGATCTAGGGCCTATTTGCGTAACTTAAGATTCATACGCGGCTTCTATACCGCTTCTCACCTCCCTCCCCCGAGATGTCTGGAAGAAACTCTGATCGGTGTTTTAAAACACAAAAACATGTCTAAGTTGGGGGGGACACTGGGCAGGTGAAGTAGAGTTGACCTGTTTTTATAATCTCAGCATATAAAGGGATAGTGTTGTCAGACCCATGCTCAGCCGAAATAGGTGTTTTTAAAAGACAAAAACGTCTGAGGTGTGACCAGAGGCGTATCCAGGTTTTCGTTGTAGGGGGAGCGAAAAGAGCAAAAAAGGCGCCGAATTTTTAACACGTTCCATATACGTGTATTTTATATATATATATATATATATATATATATATATATATATATATATATATATATATATATATATATATATATATATATATATATATATATATATATATATAATTACTAGCTGTATGTCATTACTTCGCTATGATGTAAAATAAATTGAAAGTAGCACTCTGAAGAAATAAGAAAAAACACACAATGTAGGCTGACAAAACAAAAAATGTATCAATCTAAACAAAAAAACAAACAAAATATACACAACCTACAACCAAAAACAATGAAAGTAACACAATCTGTTTTGTAATTCTTGTAAAAAAAATTTTACATAATAATTCCTGGGAAATTTTTTAAGACAAGTGAAATAAAGGGAAATAATCACTTTCTTAATATAAATATGTATATATCTACACATTTAATTATAAATGTCAAAACAAATAAATAATTACTTTAGAATATAATGAAATTGTTTAAAACTATTCGTTTTAACAAAATGTTTTTGTCTATAATCAGAATGAAATATATCGTCATCATAAATGCTAAAGTATTACAGCATAATGAAAGTTTTTGAAATCAGAGTTGGTATAAAACTACGCTTTTCAAACTCATAGAAAAACATTCGAAATAACAGCCTACATTTAACTAAATGTCGGTCATTAGTTCAGATCATATATTTTTTAATTAGCTACTGCTTCTTTGTGTTCCTTAAAGATATATTTTTAACATAGTGATAGGTATGGGTTAGATCACCATATTGCTCACACACCTTTTTACTGCCCAGTCACTTTAGGTCAATTAGCCAACCCAGTGTATACCTAGGTGTGACATTAATGTCGCTCTACACAATTGTGGTGGTGAGGTGTGGGGTGGGGAGATAACCAACTCAGAGTGAACATAGCGTCAGTTTTTAGATGACTGTTCTAAACATACATATATATTACACATGTATACTGATTCAGAAATAGATTTAAATAAGTAGCAGTGGTATTATGACAATATTTTTTTTTACAGAGGGGTCCATGGGGGAGGGGGGGGGTTGTAACTGTTTCATATAATTTGTAATCGTATCACTATCGCCCAAATTGTAAGAATATTACTACTACTTCATCGTGATGACAATGACGTTGTTGACGTGTCAAAATTTCCCCACCGCTACGCAGCTTGCCCATAAGTAAATTTAAATAGAGGTGCCACAACAGTTGTATTTGTTTCTGTATTGTAATTTTAAAAAAATTAATCACACGATTCAAACTGTATAGATAAAGTAATTATGTGTAAAGTTTTATGTATAAAATTTTCTAATGCAATTATTCGTAAGCAAATACATTATATAGTTGCCTTAAACTTAACACCCCTCTTGCCAAGTGGTACTACCGGTAGAGGATTTTAAAAAATTCCAATGCATCGTAATGGTTATTTTTAGAATGGCAAACTGATGCAGCTGTTAATACGTGTTGTAAACGTAGACACTACTAGACTAGTACAATGATGCTTAATTGCTGCATGAAAAGAAATCTTGTGATTTACATAGATGTGCCGACCAAAAATATTTTTTTAACAAATATCATTGTTTAAAACTTTGAGTTTAAAAAGTTTCCAAAAAGGCGCCACTTTGCTGAAAATGGCCAGAGGGGGAGCGGCCGCTCCCCCTGCTCCCCCCCTGCGTACGCTACTGGGTGTGACGTCTATTTGAAGGTGGGGTCTGGTTTTTTGTGACGATAAGTGACGGACGTGATATTTTTTTATGGATGACCCACAGTTATCCAAGGGTAGTCTAGTGGAAAATTAAAATGATCCTTCATTGAATACAAAGGGACTAAATGGATTTTTTATTGTATGGAATGGGAATTCCATTGACTTCTCTCATCTATCCAAATCGCACTCTCACAATTAATTTCATTGGCAATTATCACCATCAGCTCACGTTGGTGATGTGCAACTCTCCAAGGCCTGATGCACTGTAATGGCACAATTCATTATTCCTGTTGTGAGTTAAGGAATGATTGTGCAGCATAACCATTGAAGAGAAGTATGAGTAACACTTCAGCAAACCCTATCGCTCATTATAAATTTAACAGACAGACAAAACAAATCATAAGGGATTGTGCAATAAAGATTTAAAGAGCGTGATTTCATCCACTTTTTACTTTGACTGCAAAAAGAGATGGAAATTTATGTGATGATCCATCTGTTGAAAGCTCAGCTATCGCTAGTCCACAGTTTGGCGACTGGTAAAGGTGGAGGAAGAAATCTATCTGTTATTAAGCTGAAATACATTTACCATCCATGCATTTAACAATCTGAGTAAAAAAAACTGGCTAGTTTCACACATGAATATCATGCCAACTCTGATCCCTTGAGAACATTAAGACACTGTCTCTACCCCCTTCCCCCTCATCACAAAAGTCTTAAGTGTGATGTCATTTATGGACTACCCCTGTTTGCAATTCATTTTTTCACACCTTTTCATTTCCAATTAAATAAACCTGAAGTGATCTCCCCTAAACTTTCTCGAATATTCTTATGTAACTTGGAATATAGACATGATTTTTAATTACTTAAACTTTTAAAAATAGAATAGAATCTCATAGAAAAAAAGAATTGCGCACCAAGCGAACGCCAAAACAAAAAGTTCATAATAGTGCGCAATATTATTAGTACTTTATAAATTTACATGCGGTTTTTTTTTAGAAATCGGAAATAGCGTAAATTAGTACTTCCGGTCAACGGAAATTACTCAAATTTTGACAGAAGGTAGAGAATTAGATCTTTTACTTACATGTGAAATTTCATTTATCTATCTGAAATAGTACTCAAGTTATAGGCTTTTGAAAAATTTAAAGTACCAAAAGTACCACTTCCGGTTATCGGAAATTGCTCAAAAGTTGATACGGATATACGATTTTCATAAACTACTTATATATGAAATTTCATCAACCTAGCTGTAACGATACTCAAGTTATCGTGTTTACACACGGACACACAGACAGACAGACACACAGACATACGGACAAGATTGCAAAATTATGTTTTTCCGTATCAGTGAGGTGTAAAACGTCGAGATTTGTAAAAATCTCGATTTTTTTTTTTTTTTTGCACGATTACAAGACTTTCTCTATACTCCGTATATACGAGAAAGTAAAAATGTAAGTATTAAAATAATAAAAACATTTCTATTATCTGATTGTACTGGAAATGCCATCCCCCTTACTGTTATATAAAAATATACAAGAAAGTTTAGGTTAGATCACTCCCTCTTAATTTAATTTTTGTAAATAAGCAGCTAAAAAAAATTGTTTCAAATTCCACAGGCTCTTGATATTGTAATGGAAAATCCTGACCTGCCGAAAAAAGTTCTATCCAATACAAACAGATTTAGAACTAAGATGCTAGACGCTGGTTTTACTGTTGCCGTAAGTTACTTCAATTAAGAGATTTTGCTGCATCATCTTTATTTTTGGAATCAAAAATTCAAAATTAATCTTTTAAATAATACTGAAGATATAAGTTCCAAGCTTCTAAATCTGACACAATTATTTTTGTTAAAATTAAAAATAGTTAATTATATTATTTTAGGGAGATCCATGTCATCCTATCTGCCCTGTCATGCTTGGAGATGCCAGGTTGGCATCTCAGTTTTCTGAACAAATGCTTGGTAAGTTATTGTTTTAATAGAATTTTTTAAAATGTTTTCATTCTCAATTTTAATCAGGTGTGCTGCTTTAGTTCAACTGATAGGGAGTTTTTGTTGAAAAATTGGAAGTAAAGATATATTTTGCTTGTTTTGATTTTTATGAGTTGGAAGAATGATCTTCTATTTTTAACAGTAATCTTTTCTTCCATTAGGAAGTGTACTTTTAGTTTTATTAATAGTTATCTTTTATATTTAATTAAAATGAAGCTTATTATTTTACTGTCCTTACCTGAAACAAAGCGTCGAACAGATTCGCATCTTATTTGCCCGCTGCTTCACTCACACCGCTGCGATAAATATTGGCTAAAAATTGACGGCGTCTACGTTCTGTTAACTGTCGATCTCTATCATCTTGGTTTAATATAACCCTTGGCAGTCGAAATAAAGGAATCACTTTAGATCTGCCACTTCGAGTATCACAACCTTTCACCGCACAGATCTCCATTTTGAATGTAGATATGTACACCGAGATGGCGGATGTTTACATTCACGAACGGACGTGACGTCATATGAAAGGACTCTATATGTATATATATGTGTGTATATGTGTGTATATGTGTGTATATGTATGTATATGTGTATATATGTGTATATGTGTGTGTATATGTGTATATATGTATATATGTGTATATATGTATATATATGTATATATATGTGTATATATGTATATATATGTATATATATATATATATATATATATATTATATATGTATAGATATGTAAATGTGTATATATATATATGTATATATATGTAAATGTATATATATATATATATATATATATATATATATATATATATATATATATATATATGTATATATATGTATATATAGGGTAAAGGAGGGCGTTAAGAGCCGTGTGGTATTAAGCCCCAATCAACACCCCACCCCCACAAAACCCCCAATAACACTGCTAATCTATTTCTGAGGTAACAACCACTGCTGTTCTTTGATAACAGAGAAGCAGAGGATTCATTTTATGTAATTTATGACCCACTTGGCCCAATAGGGAGAGGATGAAACAAGATTTAATCCCACTGCTCTTTCCCTAAAATTTCTCATCTCCATAAAACCATTTTGTGAACTTTTTTTCCAAATAGACATAACTTGGGAAACTTCACTTTGTAATAAACCAAATGAGTTTTTCAATCCCATTCTTTGTGCCTGTATTAAAGCATTGGTTGTTGTACATTTAACACTATTTTTATAGCTATAGCTAGAATAGTTTTATTTTGGTGAATTTTTTACTTTCTCGTATATACGTAGTATAGAGAAAGTATTGTAATCGTGCAAAAAAAAAAAATCGAGATTTTTACAAATCTCGACGTTTTACACCTCACTGATACGGAAAAACATAATTTTGCAATCTTGTCCATATGTCTGTGTGTGTGTGTGTCTGTCTGTGTGTGTGTCTGTCCGTGTGTAAACACGATAACTTAAGTACCGTTACAGCTAGGTTGATGAAATTTCATATATAAGTATTTTATCAAAATCGTAGATCCGTATCAACTTTTGAGCGATTTCCGATAACCGGAAGTGGTACTTTTCCTACTTTGAATTTTTTAAAAGCCTATAACTTGAGTACTATTTCAGATAGATAAATGAAATTTCACATGTAAGTAAAAGATCTAATTCTCTACCTTCTGTTAAATTTTGAGTAATTTCCGTTGACAGGAAGTACTAATTTACGCTACTTCCGATTTCTCAAAAAACTAATGTAAATTTTAAAAGTACTAATAATATTGCGCACTATTATGCGCTTTTTTATTTCGCGTTCACTTGGTGTGCAATTAATTTGTCTACGAGATTTTATTCTATTTTTAAAACTTTAAGTATTTAAAATGGATTAAAAATCATGTCTATGGCCCGAGTTCCCATCCCCTGTTATCTATTATACTACTAAAAGTCAAGTTTGTTTACATGTTTGAATATTTATTTGTTTGTTTGCCTGATCGAAAATTGTGATATGTTCGACTCTATCTGGAAAGCTGTAAAATGGTATGCAGGTAGAGAATAATTTTTTAATGCAGACAGACTGTTAATCACACATTTATTTAAAGACGTTAATTAATTTATTGATTTATTCCTACGCAGAATAACCCATTTTTTTTTAAAATGTTAAAACCTTGACTAAACTTTGTGGGAATAGTGACGTCACAGGTTTTTGTTTACTCTTTAGTACAATAAAATGGCGGCGTCTATTGAAGAAAATTGTGTTCCCATTCAAAAGTTTAACGCATTCTAAATCTAATTTTCTGTCGGTCATAACTTTAACAATACGTCCGTTTGCTGTATTTATTACGTCCCAACACTTATATCAATTTTCAACTGTCTTTTTCATTTAGTTTTATCTATATACTACTAAAAGTCAAGTTTGTTTACATGTTTGAATATTTATTTGTTTGTTTGCCTGATCGAAAATTGTGACATAGTATAGTATAAAAATTCACTTGTGACGTCACGAGTAAATAGCTAAAATGGTAGCGTAGTCAGCTCTCATGCAGGAGGCACGGGTTCTAGACCAATATGTCAATGAAATTTTTTTTTTCAATTTTTTTTTTAGATGTGAATGATAACGTTGCCTATCTGAACTTGGCAAGATACAGGGCAGGTGAAGTAGAGTTCATCTGTTTCTTTGTCCTAAGCATATGAAAGGATAGTGTGGTCAGATACATGCTCGGCTGGAATTGTTTTTTAAACGATAAAAACATGTTGTCTGAGACTTGGCAGGACACTGGGCAGGTGAAGTAGAGTTGAGTAGGTCACCTGTGACGTCAGTTTATGAAGGGATAGTCCGAAATCGGTGTTTTCGGTGTTTTTAAAAGATAAAAAACATATATTTGAATGTGGGGTCTGTTTTTTGTGACGATAAGTGACACTGCAGTAGCGTACCGAGGAGGGGGGGGGGACGGTAAGGGAGGGGAGGCGGGGGGTGGGGAGGGGAGGCGGGGGGTGGGGAGGGGAGGCGGGGGGTGGGGAGGGGAGGCGGGGGGGGGGAAGGGGGGGGTGGGGAGGGGAGGCGGGGGGGGAAGGGGGGGTGGGGAGGTGGAGGGGGGAAGGGGGGGGGGACATATGTTGGGGCGCCAAAATGGTTTGGAAAAATAAATTGATAGGTTGAGGGGGGTTCAAATCGAAAGTTTGAGTGGGGGGGGGGGTGCACATCAAAAGTTTGAGGGGGGGGGGGTTCAAATCGAAAACTTTGTCCCCGGGCGCCGGGAAGGGTCGCTATGCCTCTGAGTGACAGACGTGATGTTTTTTGATGGATGACCCCCGAAACCCACAGTTATCCAACGGATGACGGGTATTCTAGTTTTATATAAAAATATTCGAGAAAGTTTAGGGGAGATCACTACCGGTTTATTTTGCACAGTGATTATTGGTGCCAAAACAAAATGGCCGACATTTGTCCCATTTTACCATGCTATAAAGTTTTTATCATTATCAGAGTAAAACTTGACTGATCATTACCATAATGGTTTTATTTGTTAGATAATAACTAAATCTACATGAATACATTAATTTTGTCCACTAGCTTGCCTGTTCAGAAAAGTTATAACAGATACTGTTATGTGGTTCTTGAAACCCTATGTGCAAGTTTCTCATTTATTATGACACTGGCATAGGAATAGTTAACGCAAAATGTATTAATTGTTTAACAGACTGTGTCTAAATGATAGAAATACAAATCTAACCTGCTAAAAAGTAAAAATTCAGCCATCTGATGTTAGCCAGGTAATTTTTTAAATGGTACACAGTACACGTACTTATTACCCATAAGGGACAATACAGCCGACTCAGCCCCCACCTGTTTCTAACCAACCATAAAACTTCTAATCTCTTTGTAGGTAACAGGAATAAATGTACTTAGGTCTCAGCCAATCTGGGGTGGTATGTTATGTAATTTATGACCCTTAAGATCCAGCAGGGAAGTAAACAGGCACATTAATACCACTGCTCCCCCCCTTACAATTTCTTACCCCCATGATACTCAGCCCCCACCAGTTTCTGGCCCACCATAAAACTTCATCTCTTTGTAGGTAACATGGATTACAGTTACAGATCTCAGACAATCTGGGGTGGCATGTTGTAATATAAGACCTTCATGGTCTAGCAGGGTGGAGACCAAAGAGGAATCAGTACCACTGCCCTCACAATTTCTCACCTCCATGATAGCCAGACCCCACCTGTATCTAACCCACCATAAAACTTCATCTCTTTGTAGGTAACATGGACTTAGTTCTTAGATCTCAGCCAACCAGAGATAGCATCTCCTTATGTAATTTATGGCCCTCAGGGTCCAGCAAGGAGAAAAAAGGGGAAACCAGTACCACTGCTCTCCCCTCACAATTTCTCACCCCCATGATACCCAGCCCCCACCTGTATCTAACCCACCATAAAACTTATCTCTTTGTAGGTAGTATGGACTTAGTTCTTAGATCTCAGCCAACCAGAGCATCTCCTTATGTAATTTATGGCCCTCATGGTCCAGCAAGGAGAACAAAGGGGAAACCAGTACCACTGCTCTCCCCTCAACATTTATCACCTCCATGTCGTGTTATGTAATGTATAGCACACATGGCTTATCAGGGGAAAGCATTAAGGCAGATTAGTTAGTACCAACCCTTTTTACATACAAGAATGTTAACTCTGGACAGCTACACACTAGTATACTAGCTACACACTAGGCATACTAATGTGCCTACTGTAAACTACTAGACTGTAGGCCCTATGTACACCTGCAATTGTAGACTGGGCCCATTGGGGCCTAGTGATAGCTAGGATCAGTTAAAGTGTGTGTACACAGCATTAACTATTTTGGGGTTAGAAATTAATTATTTTTATTGCGGAGTTAGTCTAAACTAGGAGATAATACTTATTGCCCCATTGCCCGACTCCTTTCACCCCAAATGCTGAATTCGGGGGTATGACAATAAATGTTCAATTAAACCCATTTAAAGTATA